GGGCTATCTTCTGGATTTCATTAATCTTCTACCGTGGAACAGCCTTCTAATGGGAAAATATGGGAAAGGAAAAAATAAAATCTTAGAACCTAACAACCTTCTTTTTCCAATATAGAGAAAGGTTCACAAAAATATGATGTAATTCATTCAGCTTTTTCCTTTGGGAAATCTCTTCTTTACATTTCCAGCTAATCCATCTTTTCCTTTCGGGAAACCCGGTAACTATCTGTATTTGGTAGGAGAGGATCTCAGCACCTCAGGAAGACCTGAAGTCCTATTCAAGACCTTTGAAAGCTTCCTCATTGATAGGCATCAAAGAGAGCAGCAGGTACTTGTGCAAGAAGTGAAGCATTAGGAAGGCAGGGAAGAGTGACAGAGAGCTGTGTGAGGAGCACATGAATGGTGGGAGGAGTGTGGCAGAGGGACAGGCCAGAAGAGTGGCAAAGAGAAGTGTGTCAAACCAATTGCTGAACAGATTGGAGGCTTTCTCTCTTTTGCCCAGAGGCTGTGTGTTCCCTGCCTAATACAAATATGATACATAGTAATCATTTCTTCCAAGTAACATATTCATCTTCTGTGCACACTGATGATAAACAGTGACTAGATGTCTCCCTGGCTCTTTGGCTCACGAGACAAAACAAGTGTCAGCAACCCACTGCTAGCAATTGAGAAATCTTCAGAAAATGTAGCATTTTTTAAAATGTAAAAATTGAAGGAAGCAGTATGCTAGAGAACAATTATGAAGTATCTGAGCTGTAAGAATTGTAGCTTCTTGTGTTCTTTATGAAGAAAATATTTGAGGCCAAATCATAATGTATCTGATTGAAAAGAATTTTTTTAAAAACCCTCCTGCTGCTGCTGTACTACTGCTTTTGCTGCAGTAATGAATGACATTAGTAATTGTTTTCTGTTTCTAAGCACACAGGAGATTTAGACTGCTGCTGCATTTCTTAAGAAATCTATTTCTTTCCATTTATTCATTAGTAAATATTAGCTCATGAATGCTGATAAAATTGCTCCCCTTTCAGTCATCTGATTTTCTACTTGCAAAATGGCAATTTACATTGTTGAGATATAGCAATTCCAACAATGTTATCATCCAAGTGCAAGCAGCTAGTGAATTTTTAGAGGTTGTTTCAGACAGGCCTGCATGTATGGGAGTCTGCTTTTATCACTTGCTAATAAATGCTTCATCTTTGCCTGTAATTGTGGCAGAATGGAAACGGTGCTTAGAAGCCTGGATGTGAGATTGCAGCAAATGGCTGCAACCTACGTTTAATGTAGTGACACTAATGAATTCTGAAAATTAATTTTCAGCTAAGAAAGCATGATGGAAGATACTAGAATTTCAAATTAGGTAATGAATTAGCTTTTATCAGGACCAACAACATGTACAGTGTTTGTTTCCTTTTCAATCTCTCTGTACTAGCACTGCACGTTATTTTAGATCCAAAAAATTGCAAACCACATCTGATCATATTTTCATCATACCTTATGTGAAACTCATGTTGCAGTACATTTTCTATTCAATTTGCTCCATGTGAGGCAGTCTTACCCTGTATGTTTTATATTGCATAATCTCCATGGCCCAAATAAATTGACTTAAACTGCCGGTGCACCACATTTTTTTTTTTTTTTTTTAATATATAATTGCAATGTGTTTGATGTTGGACAGCTAGCTTAGGCACTTTCAAAATTGGTCTTAAATGAATTCATCAAGTTCAGATGAATACCTGAAGATATTACAGTTTTTCCTCCTTTCCTCAGATGCAAATCCTTCAGTGATGTTATTTCTTAATATTTACACGTACAATGCACACTGAGACTTTGTTTGGTCATTCTGAATAATAATATTTTCTGGTAAGTGACATTATAAAAGCTGCTCAGTTACTGTACTCTTCCTCTAAAATGTTAATAATGTTAGATTTTGAAGTTGCATATTACTTCTTGATTTATTTTTTCTGTACTTTATGAGGAATATGTTTGTTGATTTGGATGTACTGATTAGTTATGACAACTGTGAATACAAGCACCCACGTACCCATGTGATTAATTTTTTCACATAGTTCTGTTTCAGGCATGTAGGAAGTGTTGTAATAAGTCACCTTCATGAAGGATTTAGCATCATAATGATCAATATGCTATCCTCCATTAATGTTTTCTGTAGTATATTGTTTCCAGTGTAGATGATCTCTTATGGAATACCTGCAGTCAGCCTTATTTTCCCTTTTTCACCAGCTCATAAGTGTGGCCCAAAAACAGATGTTAGTAGCTCTTTGTTTTGTTGTGGCATCCCAACGATCATCAGAGAGGGCCTACTTTTTCTGATAAAGGCACAAGCTTTGCACACTCTGAGCTTAGAATGGAGATTTTGATCCCAGAATCACAGGGATCTGTCTTTTGTGTTGCTAGATTAGTCATCTTATAAATTCTTGAAGTTTCACTTGTGTTTCAAGTGAATTCTTAAGTGGCCACAAATTGCAAAAATATTCTGCTACCAAAAAATAAAAGCTGCATATAGATGAAAAAATATATAAAAAAATATTTGCAGAAGACAGAGGCATGGCAAGAATATGCAACGGAAGCCAAGGTAATCAATCCCTCAAGTAGTCTTCAAGATGTTCTCACTGACAGAACTTATCTGTACTCATTAAAAATGTGTGCCAGACTCAGAGAGCTAGGATTTTAGGCACACAATGCAGAAGCTAAGAATTTATTTCCCTAAAGAGTTTCCCTTTCTCTCAAAATACTTCTATGAATGCAGTATCTTGGATGTTTGGATGTTTCATCTCCTTCTATATGGAAAAAATTCTCTCCTGCAACCTCTGGATCTTGTCCATAGGGTATCTTTGGAGGTGCATTGGACCAGAGCTCAGAGCAGAACTTACTGTAATAACTGCATAGTGCAAGGTAGAAGACTTTTATATTAGCATTTCTTGTGAATGCAAAGTGTTCAATGCAATGCAAAATGGAACCATGTAATTTCGTAAGATTTCATTTAATCTCACATATTGTTACTATCTAAAAAGTAACTTCAGCCATGTCTTCCCCTGAATTCAATTATATTACTATAATATTTCAGATGTAATCAAATGAAACAGGAGTGTTTATATATTAGCAATATGGCATACATGATGTGAATTTCTAGATGCTGTTAGTAAAAATCAAGAGCCTGTGAGCTTTTCAGATTGACGTATGCATGTCAAACACTTGCCATTAAGTAATGATTTTTGTATAGTTTTGCATTTTCTTTTCTTCTGCCTATCCGATTAATGGTATCTTCCTTTTCAGATGCTTTTTTCATTTTTCACAGGAAGCACATAAATATAACCAGGTTTGGCATGGACTGTATTGTCTGTGTGGGTGTACTGACAAAAAAACATGGATAACAGCAGGAAAGGAGTGTGTGGTGAGGATGTCTGAACCTGTTAAAGGCCAATGATGGATCTTTCTTCATGGGAGGACAGGAGTTGTATTTATAGCCTTGTACTCTGAAGGAAGGAGATAACACAGGTTTTGTTGGTTGTCTTTCTATCAGGATGCCTTAGTTCTGTCTGACAGCAAAACCCACCAAAGCAGTTAAACTGGCAGCAGGTTTTAGAGACTGTCTTTTCTGGACTACATGTAGCAAGAAGAGACTGAGAAAATGTTTTTCAGGAAACCAAAATATTAAAGTTTTGTCAGATGACATTTCAGGATCATTTTCAGACCTGACTTAGACTTCAGTAAAGTATTTGAGGTGAGGCTAAATTGCTATTCATTTTCTGATGTATTTGATAATATTTAGAATCAATTAATGTGCATGTATTAGATATTTTTTTTTAATAATTGCATTGATGCTTCTAGACTATCAGTTGTTCTAAAAAGTATTAAAGTTTCATTGAATTTGGGGGTGAAAAGATAATGTTTATTTGTTATACTTGCCCCTGATAAGGAAGTACTTCAGATGTGACACTTAATAATAGCAAATATGAAATGTAATTTTGAAGTGTATAATATGAATGCATCTCATCAATTAAACTCATCTTGGACTAGATTCACTGAAATGATAGCTGTTGTGTCAGCCATGCATATGGAATTGCAGGTTTTCTTTTTCACATTCTCAATTACTAAAAATATTTTTTTATGTAACCAAGATAAACAGAATGTAACTTTAATACAAAGAATTAAAGGGTACTTTAAAGCAGTCTGATCATTTTTCTGTTTGGACTGTATTATTTAAATTTTAGTGTACAGAAGAGAATTCTAGTTTAATTATGGCATCCTCAGTTTTAAATCTTTATTATAGAAATTCATGTTACACTTTATGCTAATCTAATAAGATACAGCTCTCTACTACTTGATCACCTATTTCTATCACAGACTGAACTTTGGTATCCTAACTAGCATTTAAATCTGACACTCATTTCTGTTCCATTCTGAATTATGAGGGTTTGCAGAATTTTCTATGATTCTTCCACTAACAACTTAGCATCATAGTATAGCAGCTGTGTCTGAAATATTTATTTTAGCACAGAATAAAGCTTATAATGAATTGTTTGAACTATTGATGTATTGCAAGTTTCACTTTAGATTTTATTAGGCTATGTCCTTAAGCTCTTGGTCAACACTCTCACTGGAGAGTAGGTAGAAAATTAAATTGAATGAAATATTGTCTATTCATCTTTGGTTATGTGTGGTGTCTATTAACTGTACAGCAATTACAATGTCAACTTTTCATAGTAAGCTAGTTACAGTTTTCCAAAAAAAGACTGAAATAATCTAAGATTCATAACCTTTATAAGTAATATAGTTGCAGGTTGAATTTACTTCATCAAGTATTAATGTCAGCTTTATTCCAATGTAGAAGAAAATTTTCTTTGCATACCCAGGAACTCTGCATACCAAGGAATTTGTGGAAAAAACAAACATTGCAGTAACAATCATGTGAAGTAAGCCAACTCAAACCATGCTGTAATGAAATAACATGGTTGCATGAGACCACTATTTCTCTGTTGCAGGTGTCTTATCAAAGATTTCGAGAAACGTCCTACAGTTACCCACCTTTTGGAGCATCCCTTTATTAAACAAGTGCATGGTAAAGATATGTCTCTGCAAAAACAGTTGGCTGAGCTTATCCAAGAACAGCAGCGACTGGGCTCTGTAGCAAAAACAAGGTACTGTACAACACATATGCAACAGCCTTCCTTCCCAAACAGACATTTACTGTTTCGAATGATCATATTAATGCATTGACTAGTACTATCATTAGCAATAGGTGAGGCATGCCATGTGCAAGAAATATTCTTTCATATTGCTAGATCTTAAAGCAACAAATTAAGCTAAAAATACAAACTCTTCTTCACTTTCTTTCTCCTCCTGAGCTCTTATTTTATATACATTTGCTCCTGACTTAATCTCAGAAATGCTAGAAATTCCAAAATGTTCTGGTCTATGGAAGTCTTTTTATCTTTTGGCATGAAGAAACTTGTATTTTGGTACAGATTCTTTAGAAATACAGCGATGAACAATGAAGTTGCTGTTAGAAAAGGTTAAGAATGGATTTCCTTTTGATTAGAAACTAATGCTAAGTAGGTTATTCAATACTTAAAATATTGTTTTGTTTGTAGTTTTGTAATAACTGCTATTTTTTATTCAGTCTAGCAATTAATTTAACTATGTTAAAAAGCAATGAATATGACTTTGTTTGTTTGTTTTTACTTTTGTGGCTGATAATGTATGTCTTAGTTTAGTTGTTGTCCAGAGGGTGGCAGGATTTCACTGTCTTAAAAAAAGAATTAAATGCAAATGAGCACACCTTCCCAAGCTCAGCAATCATTCTGTAATATAAAATTTGTCTACCATGAGATAAGCTCTAGCTTATTATTATAAACAAACACATACTAATGTTGATGGAGAATATTAAATGTCATGACTCACAAGTCATAAACATGTATATACTTATATGTGATTAGACTTTGTAGCTTAAATGCTAAAAGCACAAACAAAAATATGGAATTTAAAATAATAGAGTAGCTGTAAGTACAGTTTCAAGGTGAAGCTGACTTCCGTTCCTCCTCTCCCTCAAAAAAGCGTATCAGAGATTATGTAAGGGTGCTACGCCAGCATCCACTGTATGTTCCTGCCGTGTCCTTCCCCTCGAGTAGGCCTTCCTCATGTAACACCTTACAGATCAGATTGCTTACAGCTGTGGCTTGGATGGCACAGAAGGTTTTGGAATTTTCCCAGCTGCTAACCGAATAAAAGATACAGTATGTAAATGATCCTTGTACTATAATATAATACTATAATTTTTATTTCAACAAATTACTCTGGTATCTGGCTGCACAATGTAGGATGAGACAGAGTCAAGATCAAGCCAGCATTTATTTCCTCAAGTCTGTCCATAAACTAGTCATGTAGCTCACAGGCAACTTATTTCTCATCACTAAGAAAGTGCGAATTTCACCTTTATGAGCTCTGTTATAGTGTCTCCTCTACTCTTAAACACTACTCTCAGCATACTTTGTCCCCACCATGTTCTTTCCTGGTCTTTTGTTTTGCTTTTCACTGTGCCTCTGAATTACTCTGAGTACTAAGAGGCAGATGCAAGATCAGGTTGCTACAGAAATCTTTTACCTTTACTTTGAAGCCAATATTATTGTAGAACTATAATTAAAGAATCACAGTATTCAACTTAGCCTTCCTTTGGCTGAAAAGTCCCAGCTCTCTTAGTCTTCCTTAATAGTAGAAAATAGAATGTCTTTCTGATTTTTTTGGATCACTGTAACTTTATACTACAGCTCCATTACTAGCTCCTTAGTTTTTTTTTCTTAAGCACTGGCCCACTTTGATCAAGACAGAGAGTGAGGACAAAAACTTAGTATGCTCCAGCATTGAAATATACGACATATTGTTCTGAATGATAAAGAACTGATTTCCCACTATTTGTGACTTGATCAAACTGGGGCAAAATTTAGTAAGACTGGAAAAGCATATCCATGGTAAAAGACCAAGTCTGTGTTCTGTTTTGCAGAACCTTATAGCATTTCCAATGGTAAAAATCTATCTTTTTTTCTGTATTCTAAGGAGCAATTTAGTAAATACAGAATAAATTTTAAATAATTAGGATTTTGAATACTAGAAGCATCTGAAATCTTTTTCTTCTGTTAACACGTGTTGGACTTCTGTAATTCTACCTGCCTTGCTGCTGAATGTTCCTGTTGTAAATCCCTACACACAACTGCGGGTCCAAAAATAGCTGCTTTATACTCCTAGAAGTAGGAAAGTTCTAAATTTTAAGTGGGTACTTGCTACCAGCCAGTTAATGTTGGACTATAAACAAAAGATTATTACAAGAGAATCAATCACCATCTAATTATAATATTCCCCAGAGGCATATGCACAGTCATCTCATAATCTCTGTAATAGAAAGATTTATCTTCTAGGAAAAATAGTAGCAGTGAAAAGCCTTAAAAATTCTGTAATGCCTTTATAAAATAATTTTCAATGCAGAATCTGACATGGAGAAGAACACATGACAAGGTGGTGCTTTAAAAATGTTTACTGGCAATCATTTCTGGTGATCTCTAGAAGTGATCTGAGTGTATAATCACCACTTCAAAATAAAAAGGCCATTTAAAACCCAGGCTGAGTAAAACCTTTCTATTATACCACTGGGTATATGTGCATGCTCTTTGTCTGTTTATTGGTGTACACGTGACAGGTTGAGTAAAATGTGCATTAATTCCCTGGTGCTGAGAGATAAAGAAAAGTAGATGCCTTTTTTAGATACACAGCAACACTATAGATCAGTTACTTAAAAGATGAGTTAAAGAGCATTTTCTTTCATTTATACAGCCATAGATCTCACAAAGTGCATGCTGAAAATTTCCAGAAAGTAGAAAATCATCAGGATGCTGATGTTAACAGCACTTCTACTGTGAGGGAAGTCAGAGGGTCAGCAGTGATGACAACTGATCAGGAGGTGCCTGGGTTTCGTTTCACATGAAAGTCTTCCAACATCAGAGCACTCTATATCTTTTGATGCTTTACTGACTCAGCAGTTGTGGTGCTTTTAAAAATTTATTTATAGGATTCTCTTTCCAGTTGAACCATCCCAGTTATGTCTATTTTGGGACATCACTTAAGATCATTGTGCAGAAAGCAAGACTGAAGGTTAGAAATTTAGTATTATTGATATAGAGATAATGAAGGACTATGCTTGACTATAATTCGTGTTATTTTTCCACAATCTGTGAAGGAGATGGGGGCAGTGATATTGAGGGAAAAAATACCAATGAGTACTAGATGAAATCAGGAGAATGAAAATGGAGCTTATGATGTGGTTAGACCAGATGTGCCGAGCTGATTTAACAGCTCCTTACCACTGACAGGAGTGGTTCCCCTTGTATTTTGTCTTTGACTTATTTCTTCAACTTCACTTTCTGCTGGGCAGTACCACTCCTTGCCTAATCTGGGCTCTTGTATTCACATAATTCTTTGGTGAGTCTCTCTGGTTTGGAGTAGTAAACATGCAGAAAATGTCACTTGCATTATTGATCTGCTAGTATATGGAGCTGGTAAGCTTGGGAAGGGGAGGTGGCTCATGGCAGGTACAAAAGGGACCAAATCTTTCAGTTAAATTGGTGCAATCCACCTTTTCTAACCACACCATTATCTGTGAGGAGAAGGTTTGAGTGCATAGGGAATATAATCACTTTTCCCTTGCCAAGTGATGTTCATGTTCAGGCTGTTAAAGTGGCAGTTACTTTTGTGGTGTTGCCACGCTGTATGCAAAGGTGTGGTTGCAGTAAGCGTGCAACTGGGTCTAATCTGGGCATCCAGTTGGCTTACTAGCTTTGACACATTTATTCTTAATTATATTAATAGAAGTATAATAATTCATTTGAATTTTGTCACAACACACTTCTAGAGACAAATAGCCCCTAAAAGCACTTTTAAGAATTTTATTATTAACTATTTGAAACAATATTTGCGTAAGGGTCTAAGTTGGCACCTAAACACAAGATCTAGTTAATGCAGTGAAAGGAGGTACAAAGGCATTTCTAATCCACTTTCCAGCTCCCAGACAAGTCTGGACAGGTTTATTTCCCAATCCACAGTACACTGGCATCAGAGTGCTGGTATGATGTTTTAGTCTGAGCTCTGAGTGATTATACTTACAAGGAAGCTTTAGGATGTATTGAGTGCATCATAGATCTGTGTTAATCTCATTTGAATCTCTCCTCTCATAGACTTGCTCATTTTGGCCTGGAACATCCTCTAAGGGTGGTAGTTTATGTTAAAGAGGCAATTCCGTCTGCTCTAAGGAAACCTTTATCAGCACTGTGAATTTACTTCCCATTGCTATAATGACACTGTCCCCAAAGATCTATTCTGAAATGCGTTAGTGCTCGGGTCATTGTCAAGTCCTACTTTCCAGTAGCCGTTGGGCTTGTCTGATGTCTTAGGGAGTTGACTGATTTCACAAAATGATCAGAGAAAGCTAACCTGGCAAAAGCAAAGAAAATCAGGACTGCTTTTCTTCTGTTCTGCTGAGCCTGTTTGGCTCACTGAGGGTTTGTAGAAGGGATGAAGCGGGAGCAAGAGAGCAAGGAAAACTACAGCACTCAGAAAGGGGAGTTGGCAAAAATTCTTTGGCAAAGAGTTTTAGATTGTAGCTCACATTTCTCAAGTGTTCTAAAGATTTGATGGAGAAATGTGAGGAGCTGTTCTAACAGTTCACTGCTACTAAAAAGAGAAGAACTGACTTCTTCCATTTTACTGCAGCTTCAGGAACAACCTCCTGATGTTCTTTTCATTTCAGCTCCAAAGGTTGTCAAAACCTCCTGGATCAGAGCTTCTAAAGTAGAACGAAAAATTAAGCCAGCAGAAACACACAGATGATTTTCTACTCTGTTAGTGACTGCAGAGAGGGGTTCCTCAGCTAATTTAGTTGAAATAAAAAAGAGATTATCTCAGGTGACCAGAAATAAGGGATAAGAGAGGTAGAAAGAAGCTGTCACCATTCAGCAGAATTGTCTGGCATGACTTCTGGAGTCACAGACTGAAACTTCTCAATTCAGTTTCTTTCATACTTAATTTATAACTTCATTGAGCACAGAATAGTTAATCTTAAATTTGGCACAGGTCTTCATACATTAGAACTTGAGGG